ATATAAATACATTAATTTAGGTTGGTCAGAAAAATATCATAAGTGTAGTAAATCGGTTGCAAATAAATACTATAATACATATTCAATATTGTGCGAAAAGTGTTATAAAAATAAGTTATTAGAAGTTAATTCAGCAAAATAACAAGAAAATACTGAAATATTAGGAAACATTGTTTATAGTATAGAATAGCCAAAAAATAGTTCCTTAATTACCATAAATTGTGAAATAGAATTAGCAAAAGAACATAAGCTATAAACAACAACTATGATAGATACAAGGAGTACAAAAAGTTTCATAAGAGAAGAATTAGTACTAGAAAAATATAGACATAAATTAGCAAAACCAGTGAGAATAACACAATTTGATGAGAGACCAGTTTACTTAACACATTGTATTAATAACATTTTTATTAATCCTAGCATAACATTTTTCAAAAGAGGTATTACAATAACTGACCAAAGTAATATTGTAGAAGCATATAAAATCATAAGTATAGAAGAATCTAATAGTCAAGATGGTTATTATTTAGAAAACTCATAAGAAGATGGATGAGCATAATAATATAGAAGAGTTTGATGAAGAAATATTTGAACATGAATATCCGATTTTAGAAGAAAAAACCCGTATAGAAATATTACAGTTAGATAGGCCAAAGAGTTTAAAAGAATTATTACAATTAGCAGAACAAACTAGAATTATAGAAGAAGACCCTCAGTTGCATTGGAATAAAAATAAAATATTAGCAAAATTAGATATAACCAATCCAGATTTAACCATTAAAACAGCTGATATGCCTTGTACCTTATTAGATAAACAAGAGTTTGAGCAGCAAATAAAAGAGTTGTTAAATTTAAAAGTAATTAGACCTTCCAAGTCTAGACATAGATCAGCAACATTTATTGTGAGAAAACATTCAGAATTAAAGAGAGATAATGCTAGAATAGTTTATAATTATAAGAAATTAAACGATAATACATATGAAGATAGTTATAAGTTATCAAATAAGGATGAACTCATAAATAAAATTCAAAAGAGTAAATATTTTAGTAAATTTGATTGTAAATCAGAGTTTTGGCAAATATGATTAGCAGAAGAATCAATTGAGCGGAAAACTTTTACTTGTCCAGAAGGACATTTTGAGCGGCTTGTTATGCCATTTGGACTTAAAAATGCTCCATCAATCTTTCAAAAAAAGATGGACCAAATTTTCAAGAAATATGATAAATTTTGTAGTGTTTATGTAGATGATATTTTGGTACACAGTAAAAATAGAAATGAATATAGGAAGCACTTAGAGATAGTTTTACAAGAATTTATCAATAATGGAATTGTGATTAGCAAAAATAAAATAGCATTAGAAAAGCAAGATATAGAATTTCTAGGAATGTATATCAAGTCAGGTATAATACAATTACAAGATCATATAGCTAAAAAGGTCTTAGAATTTCCAGATAAATTAGAAGATAAAAAACAGTTCCAAGCATTTTTAGGATTGTTAAATTATGCAAGAAATTTTATTCCTAATTTAGGAAGAAAAATAGCAGTATTACATAGTAAAACTAGCAAAACAGAACAAAAATATTTTAATAGTGAAGATATTAAATTAGTTCAAATTATAAAGAAAAAAATTAGTCAACTCAAGCCATTAATATTACCGTTAGATGATAGTTACAAAATAGTTGAAACAAATGCTTCATCATTAGGATGAGCAAGTATACTATACCAGAAAAAGCATAAGGATTCACTAAAGTCTGACGAACAAATTTGTAGGTATTCATCAGGAAAATTTAGTGATGTACAGTCAATATTACCATCAACAGACTTAGAAATTTTAGGAATAATTAACTCATTTGAAGCATTCTCTTTATTTTTACATAATGAAGTATTTACAATTAGAACAGATTGTCAAAATATAGTTTCTCATTATAACAAAATACATGGTAATAAACAGGCAGCCCGAAGATGGGTTAATTTTGTTGATTCAATTACAGGAAATGGTTTTAAATCAATTTTTGAACATATAAAAGGTAATGACAATACATTAGCTGATATCTTATCAAGATTAATTCTTTGAACAGGAATGGAATATCGTGGATCATCATCCTCAAATAGCACAAGATCACAAAGCAGAAGAGCACCTTTCAATAGCATAATGATGCACCATGGACCTCCACCATTAAATGGATTCCAAAATAGCATAAGTAAACCAACATCCCCACCAGTATCCACTTTCAATTTTAATGGCAATATTATTGAAGGAATAAAAAATCCAACTCTGAGGTATAGGACAAGGGTATCAAAACTCTCTGATAAGCAACATATTCTCTTAGATAATTTTTGGAACATCCAAATCAAACAGTCAAGCATGAGGTTAGGTCATGAAAAACTAATTAGAGCCTTAGAACAGGAGTTTGATAGTTTTAATTTCAATTTCCGTCAAAACTAGCATCATATTCATTCCCTTGAGCACAACCTTTAGGTCATTTCTAGAGACCATGAGTCATTACTTAGTAAGTTTACCAAAATGAACCAAGAACTCCAATCTCTTATAATGCAGCAAAAGGTAAGTGACGCCCTAAAAAGAGAATTGAAAATAGGTTTGGAAACAACTGATCAACATAAGAATAAAGAAAAAGAGGTTATTGAACCCATAAGACAAGAGGCTAATGAGCCCATGAAAGAAATTAAGATTGAACTTTTAGAAGAAGATATTGAAATGGAGCATCATCAAAATAATGAACAGCATCAACATCTGAGTGACAACGAAAAACAAGAAAAATATGAAAATTTTCTTAGGAATTTGCCTTTAGATTTAATATTAGATGATATTTTATTAGAAGAAATTTCAAAAGCAAAATTAAGAATAATGTCACCAAACATGCAGAATGAAATCCTGAGTAGTGCATCACAGTCCATAAAAAAATTACAATTACAATTACAATTACAATGTGCTTTGTATCAGTCAATCTTTGATCCAAAACTAGGGATGAATATTATTACAAAAATGTATCCACTATGTCTTTGTGATAGTACAAAGAATTGTATTTGTAAACTAGAGGTTAGCATAGCTGTGGCTAGAATTAACATGAGAGATTTTAGACCATGACATTTTAGTTATGAGCATCAAAAAAGGCATAATTTGGTAGAAGTTACCCCTGCCTTACTATTAGAGTTTGACTATCTTGATAAAATATTCATTAATCATATTTCCCAACTATAATCATTTCTTGAAAAACTTATGAAAGTAGTAGAAGATTATCAGAAAAAGTGGAACGAAATTTGCATAAGTTTTATTAGTAGTTCTCCAGATTTGTATGTACATATGCATAAGGAGAAAGGCAGGCATACAACCATGATTAATGAAGAGTCCTTTAGACCATCCCCTATCTCTTCACATAGGTGGACTCCTTCATACAATAATATTCTAAAATTTTGAGGGATCCAAATGTTTGCCTTAGATGAATTTGAAGATTTTAGGTATGATATGATATTGGTAGCTGAAGAAAAAGAAATGCATATTTACAGCAAGTCAAAAGCTCATCATCAGCCATACTGGAAGCCTCAAAATTTCAAAGGAGAAATAGAAGATATGTATTATAAGGTGAAAGAAGATAGAGAAAGAGATGTAGAGCTAGTAGAAGACGATGAACAGTACTGGAATAATTTGACAAAAGAAGAGCTACATAACATTGACAATATGATGGAAGCATGAAGAACTGACAACAAATTAGCATAAGTTGAATAACATCACGTAAAATAATGTATTTCCAGACAGAAATGTCAACATCATTGTGGACCACTTTTAATGGCATAAGAGTAAATAAATAAAAGGACTTGACCCATTATGAGCTTTTCATACACAAAATGTTATTTTGATTAAGAATGAATAGTGCTAGGCCCTTTTCATTAAAACTCCCTTTTTTTAACTCTACTTAAATGGTTTTCGGGGAACCAGTCATTTGTATTGTTTCTTCTCTCAACTCTTTGCTTTTAGTTGTCTAACTGTTGGAGTATGAATCTTGATTGAATTGATTGTTTTAATCTAAACTATTGGTAGTGATCTTTTATTTAATTTATCATATTATTGAAAGAATCGCTTAGTACAATCAGATTTAAAAAAATAACTTAATATCATTACTGTTTTAGATTGTGTAGTGTTGAGTATTAGTTGTTGATTCTGTTGTGCATTGTGATCAAATCCTTGATCATGTTCTCCGTTTCAGTTTGTTGAGAATATGGATCTTGATTGAATTGATTGTTTTAATCTAGACCATTTGATACAATTTCCAATCCCGTGCAACGTGCGGGCATAAATCTCTAGTAGATTCCTAAACTACAAAATGTTCACAACTAAATAATATTAAAATTAATTGACTTTTGTTGGAAAACGTTTACTCACAAAGGCCATTGTCACGCGTAATATTACCTAATGATGTAATATTGTTGCCGTAAGTTTGTGTGATGACATGTTTCGATTCCCCAATATTTTATGCGATGAATATGTCCTTTGTCGCACAAGCAGTTTTGCATGACGAACTATATTTTGTTCGTCGGGCAAACAATTTTTTCACAAGCTTTGCGCGATGACATCTTTGCGACAAAGTTTTCATTGCATTAATGTTTAAGGGACAAAAACGTCATTGCGACAAACGTTTCTTTGTCGTGAGAACTGTTCAATGTAGTAGTGCTTGCAATTAGGTCTCTAAGAAAAAGATTAAGACTGCTAGGAAGAGCATTGTTAATAGCACGCCAAATAAAATTCAAGACTTCGGAATAAGCTTTGATTCCCCATAAAATCTTCCAGATATTTTTCGTAATAAAATGGGAGGAAGCGGTGGTGGTCACCGTGGTTTTTCTGTGTTGGAAAATCCAATGATATTCACTCTTTGCAGTATAAACCCCATTGTTGTTCCATGCATGGCCAGAAGACATATTTTTCAGTAAAATGTAATTAAAATGAATCCATTCATTCCTTAATTAATAAGTAAACACCCACATAGCCTATCACATTGTACTATGGGTCGTCATTAGAAGAGACGTTTATAAAAGAAAGTATACAATAACAACGTAGACCACCAAATAAAACACAATCTATTTTCCTCTCACCACTGTTTGAGTTTAGAATGTGAAAATTTTAAGCGGCAGACTTCAATGTGTTTCCAATGTCGATGACAAATCGGTATCTAACATCGGCTTTGGCAAGACGCTCCATCGCTGTATTCAAATAATCAATTGGAATAACTTCGATGTCAGCTGTTATGTTGTGCTTGCCTGCAAAATCAATCATCTCTTGCGTTTCCTTTAAACCTCCAATGCAACTACCAGCTACTATCTTCCCTCCTGTAATTGCAGAAGAAAGGGTTGTTATTAAAACAATTATCCACTTTAGTTTTCATCCAGAAAGTATGTACAAGCAACTTTTCAAGCAATACTTCTTTTAATAAACAATATTAGTTTTCCTATATTCAAGTCGATTACAATATATGTCACGTCATAAAATTACCCGCGACCAGTGGAAAAATTGGAAGCTCAAAAGGCTTTTCTGGTAAACCAACCATTACAAGTTTCCCATTAGACTTCAACAAACCAAGTAAAGGCAAGAGAGCGTGGACTGCAGAAACCGTGTCAATAATACCATCCATTGTGCCCATGGCAGCCTACAAAAGTGAAATGACAATATAGTTAGGTCACCTTAATTATCTATAAACACAGTGACCAAAACCTTGTTCAATTCATCCAAATGCAAATTAATGTTTAAATATTTACCTGCATTTGATCTTGTTCACGGCTAACCAAAAATGAATCAGCTTTGAGACGATTAATCGCTTCTTCCTTCTTGTTGGGGGAGGTACTAATCACTGTGACCTTAACCCCAAAAGCCTTGGCAAACTTCACGGCTGCATGTCCTAGACCACCTAGACCAACCACACCAATATGCATACCGGGTTTGTCAAGGCCATGAAGTCTCAAGGGGCTGTAAGTTGTGATCCCAGCGCAAAGGAGAGGAGCAGCACCATCAAGAGGTAGTTTGTCAGGAATACGGACAATGAAGTTTTCATCAGCCACCATGATGTCAGAATAACCCCCATGTGTCATGGTTCCGTCGTGGTACTTGGAACCATAGGTTTGTATCATTTTGGGGCAGTAGTTCTCCAAATTTTTGGAACAATTATCACAAGATTGGCAAGAACCCACCAAGCATCCAACACCTACTTTATCTCCAACTTTAAATTTTTGTACTTTGTTTCCCACTTCTGTCACCGTACCAACAATCTCATGCCTGCATCACCAAATTCAAGGAAGAATAATGGAATATGACGTAGTTAGGAAGCATACAGTCTGATAATATTCAAATGATGGAGCTTACGACTCTAGGCTACATGAAAAAGAGTTGATGCACGTTGATTTGTGAAGACGTACCCGGGAACTAGAGGATAGGTAGTAATCCCCCACTCACTCTTGATTGTGTGAAGGTCCGAATGGCATATACCACAGTACAATACTTTGAATGTCACGTCCTTCTCGCCAGTTTCCCTGATATCAAAAGCAATTCGATTTGATTTTAGAACCAACAAAAGACAAAACTAAGATTTAAGACCGCAAATAGTCAATTAAGAATTTGACGGATACCTTCTTGAGAACTTGAAGGGAGAGAGAACACCAGACGAATCTCTAGCCGCCCATCCAAAGGCCTTCTTCGGGTGTTCTTGTTCTGGAGATTTCCCCATTTTCTATCTCGTAAGTATAAAAAAGTTATACAAACAACTTCTAAAATATGAATATGTAACGTAGTATAATATATAGAATTGAGAGAGAGAGAGAGAGAGAGAGAGAGAGAGAGAGAGAGAACTAGCTACCAATGACGTAGTGCTAGTCTTAAGGGAGGTTTTTCTGTTGGAAAGTCAAGCATCCTTTCACATAATCAACTTTCTTGGCTTCTCTTTAGTTGGAAATGAAATTTTTTTGGCTGACCAGACATCTTTCCCGCGAAAGTAGAGTGGTGTTTGATTATAATGTTCCCTAATTTTTTGGTTGATTACTTGATGGATCAAAAGAGCATTTATATGTCCTTTAGAATTTAAGAACTAATTTTTGTATAATAAAAAAATGCTAGTTTTGTGGTGATTGTTTTGGCATATTGTTTGACTCGAATATCAAAAGTATTATGTTCCCTCGTGTAGTATCAGAGCTACATCAATGGATGATTAGTCTTTCATTACGTGTGGTGGGACATGATGCGATAATTACTTGACACTCAAATTAAACCCTCGTTTGACAATTGTAGTAGAATGGATAAGTGAGGGATCGTTCTAGACCGGGGATTAGGAGGGTTTGCTAAAACCTTCTAAATTGACTTAAGAACGTAAAAACAATATAAAACACTAAACTAGACTCAAAGAATGCAAAACTAAAATTTAAAACATTAAGACAAACCAAAAGACTGAAAACTAATTTTGGACGAATTTAAGATTATGGCTTGATTCAAAATACTTTAAAACATAAACTAAACAGATTCTAAGCACTAAAGAACAAGAAAGTAAAGGGGGGGGGGAAAGTTTTGATTTGACAAAAATTGAAATAACAAAACAAGTTAATAAACTAAGCGGAATGTAAATATGAATTTGTGATGGAATGAATGGAATGAAGGCTAGCAAAGGGGTTCTTCTCCACACATGTTATACTTGCATACAAGATTGATTCTCAGTTGGTCTTTCGATAAATTATGAAACTCAACACTCCGGATTAATTAGGTCCGCTTAAATTAACCGTCAAGTTTTCCTTAAGTTAATGAATTGGATGAGTTTGCGCAACGCAATTCACAACATTCTCCAAAAGTCCTTTACGTGAACAGCACAATAAAGATACAATCAAAGATCATTAAGTATTATGAAAACTATAAGTGTTGACGAGGCATTCGTTACTATGATGAGCATGAAACTCGTGCCAAGAATTCATTTAACGCGATTGTTTATAAGCAACCTCCACTACTTGTGAATATAAGTTCATAACGATTAGGTGAAAATCACTTATATTCTAGCGTCATATTTATGCATGAAAATTAAGCGCGCATTCTTAATAAACATTCATAAATAAGTTATCAATCAAACGGTTAAACAAATTGAATCCACAACTTATGAAATTCCAACGAAAGTTAATCAATTCATATTGCAAATATAAACATAGTTTCGAATCACCTCCTAGCTAAAGGGGGATTAGTTCCTCATACCTTTGAAATCAAAGAAACACCTAAACATTCCAACAACTCAAAACTTGAATTGTATGAACGTTTAAGCACTCTTCTCTTCCATTCCTTATACGTACAAAACAAAGAGAATTAAAATGAAACTTTGAAATCAAAGAAACACCTAAACATTCCAACAACTCAAACTTGAATTGTATGAACGTTTAGGCACTCTTCTCTTCCTCGTTGTTGTAGCACAAGGTTTAAGGATAGGTTGGTTGGGGGGATGGAAGTGTGGAATGGAGTGGAAATGGAGAAGATGGAGAAGGGGAAGTGTTTGTGTATTACAATGGAAAATGAGATGATTTGGTGAATGGAATGAATGGGTATATATAGGAAGAGAATGGGTGTTAATGGATGTTTGTTTAAGGTATTTGGTGGATGGGAAAATGTGTGGATGGTGGGAATTATGGTGGATGGATGGTTTAGTGGATGTAATTTAGGGTTTATTTAGGTGAATGTGGATGCATGGTTTAGTGGATGTAAAGGATAATGGGATGGTGTGGAATTAAAAGCTAAAAAAAAATGGGATAATGGGCATTTAAGTGTGAATGGAATGGTGGGATGCACTAATGGAAATTATGGAATGGAATGGTGGGATGCACTAATTAGGAGGAAGAATTAGGGTGAAGGGCTTAATGCATGGATTTGGGCCAATTAGGGTGAAGGGCTTAATGCATGGATTTGGGCCTAAAATGCCCCCCCTTGCATGGCAAGGGAAAGGACTTGGGCTAAAGCCCACGGCAATGGCTCTAAAATGGGCTAAGGTTAGGGTTTAGGTGCGGCATAGGCTTAGGGTCCACAAAGAGTTAGGGTTTAGGTCATCTAAAAGCCCAAAGCCAAGAATAGAAACTCACGACAATGGAAACCTCCAAAAATAGAAACTTCCAACTTTAGAAACTTTGGTTACCAATTCCGACTTCCTTGCTCTTCACTTTCATTTCTTCATTTCTTAAGCTCCTTTGACCTTCAACCTCGTTCATTCCTCGTGCTCCATTTGCATACACCACATTCCAGCTCAGTTTTGCTCCAAAAGCTCCCAATTGCATCATTTCATGTAATATGTCCTTTAAACCTGAAAACACATGAAAGTAGCTTAAAAGACTACTTTAACGAATAAAACATAACAAAAATGCATAAGAACTAGCTAACCAAGGCGCATAAATATGCTCCTATCAGGACACCTCTTAAATTCAAAACAAAAAAAAAAAAAAAATTAAATCGACGGCTTTTAATAAAAGGGCTTAGAGTAGTATAAGGACCTTTCTAGTTAAGCAGTTCCAAACGGGTCAACAAACGTCAGTAATTAGGTCGTAGAAAGAAAAGCACCTAAATTAAACATGGTAACTTGTTCAAATCAATCAAATCCTGATTATTAACATAGAGAGAAGGGGTGCGTTGTTTGCAGAAAGAGGTTATAAAAAATTAAGAGTGTGATTCTCTCCAGATCACAACATTATAGTAGCCTCTCACCAATGTGTCTCTCATTGGACACATTGTGGAGGATGCGAAAGTGCTGTTGTCCAGAGTCACTGGAGTTGTTCTTGCCCACACTCACGTACATGCTAAGGGAATTGTCCATCGTTTAGCTCACCATGCCCTTCAGGTTGATGGTTTTCGTTCTTGGTTTGAAAAACCTCTTGATCTTATTGTTGACCTTTTGGTGAAGAAATGTAACGGTTGAGTGAGCTATTCATTGCCTCAACCCTGCTTGTTGTATTGGATGTACTGTTGTGGCCTTTTTCAACGAATATGTCGTTGCTTTCCACACACCCAAAAAAAAAACAAAAAAAAAAACATAGAGGGAAACAAAGGGAAATGAAGATGTATTGTCACAATTTTTACTGTGATCTTATGCCCCACGTTCGCAAACTAATTTACATCTACATGGGCATACCTAAACCAACCACAGTCACAAGGTGGAGAGATTTTTCAGTGTGATCGGTACACGGAGTGGTACATCACGTATCATTATACAAATAATGAGATATGTTTGCTTAAAAAGTTAATAACTTAAAAAATAAAATTTCCCACTTTTCCTATTAAAACACATGATGTACCACTTGTGTTCCTGTCACAATTAAAATTGTGTCGAGTTTGCTAACATCTATTATCGCAATTTTTTGTTGTTGAAATAATGAAACTTACGTGTACACAATGATAACAAAAAAAAAAAAAAAAACAAAAACAAAAAACAAATCTTTAACCTCATTCTCCCATAACAAGCGAGGGATTATCATGATGATTAAAAAAATTTGTTCCAACTCGTAATTTCCCGGGTTTAAACCCTTATTCTTCCTTTTAGTGTAACCTTATAGTAGTATTATTGTTTGTAATTAGATTAAAAAAAAAAATTATTTCCAAATAAAAGCAAACTTGCCATTTTATTTAGAATCCAACATCCGGACCAAGTTGGCTTCGTAATGTATAATTTTCACACGAGAAGTTTACTAGACAACAAAATTGAGACAACTTAATTAAACCCAATTTCTTCCTTCAACCCGGCCGCAATATCCAACAACAGATGAGGCAAAATTTAAGAGCTAGATATCAACGTGTTTCCAATGTCGATAACAAATCGGTATCTAACATCCGCTTTGACAAGGCGCTCCATGGCAGTGTTCAAGTAATCAATTGGGATAACCTCAATATCAGCGGTTATTTTGTGCTTGGCTGAAAAATCAATCATCTCTTGTGTCTCCTTCATACCTCCAATGCAACTACCGCCCACTATCTTCCTTCCTATATTTAGAAAATAAACGTTTGTTAATAACATAATACACCAGTTATAATGCACAATTACAAGGTTAACATCGAAAGCAAACTTAGAAAATATGACCTATCACCGGTTGTAAAAATGTACAACTAGACGTAGGTGACTAAGAGATAAACTATGAAAACAGTGATATGCTTACCCATGATCAAAGGAAAAACTGGAAGCTCAAGTGGTTTCTCGGGTGCACCAACCATCACAAGCTTTCCATGAGACTTTAACAAACCAATCAAAGGCACGAGAGGGTGGAGTGCAGAAACCGTATCAATGATACCATCCAATGTCCCCATCGCAGCCTACAAGATTTACATGACGACATATAAGATTACCTTGTTCTATACACACACGCAAACGTAATCAATTTAAAGTACAAAAGCAAATCCTTCAAATAATCACCTGCATTTGATCTTGATCGCGGCTAACCAAAAATGAATCAGCATGAAGATGTTCAATAGCTTCTTCCTTCTTATTAGGGGAGGTACTGATCACTGTGACCTTAACCCCCATAGCCTTGGCAAATTTTACCGCGAGGTGCCCTAGACCACCTAGACCCACCACGCCCACATGCATGCCTGGTTTGTCAAGTCCGAAATATCTCAAGGGACTGTAAGTTGTAATCCCAGCACACAGGAGAGGAGCAGCACCATCCAGAGGTAGGTTGTCTGGAATGCGGACTATGAAATGCTCATCCGCCACCATGATGTCGGAGTAACCTCCATATGTTATGGTGCCGTCAAGGTTCCTAGTA